TAATATATAAGGCAAAATTAATCCGGTAAGTGGCTGAAGGGATCAAAACAAACTTCGGTTGGGGTCAAAACAATGTTTGTTGAACACAACAAGTCAGTATAAGATTTTACTATGAAAATGGTGTTTACAATATGAACAAGATCCACAAAGATTTAGGTAATTTAATAATGATCAGTCAAACAGTTACAATTTCAAAGGTAAAAAGCTAACGCTTTAGAACCCATAACAAACTTTTACTTAATAATTCAATATGTAAAGTTAATATGTTTATTAATATGTTCAATGAAGTATAAATAAATAAAAATTTAATTATGCTATTCATAAGGTAAAATGTGAGTTTTTCCTTAACATAAAAAATATCTATAATTATTTACATTAATATTAGTATCTTTATAAGGAACTAAATTAAAATAATGAATTTAATCGAAAATATACTGTTGGGACCAAAGACATCATTAATTGTATATATCTTGAATATAATCTGTACAAATTAAATGCTGTTCGTACCTACTTGAGAAAGAATAAATTTAGTATATTTTTGTACACTGCTTAAAAAAGGAGTGTAATGATTTCAAGGCTCATGTGTATGTGTATTTATTCCGCTATAATTTTCAAATGCCTGAACAGATTTGGACATAATTGGAGTATCATTTGAATTTTTACATCGTCTGAAGTGATACTGGCTATAAAGAAAAAAATAATTACTGGAATATTCATAAAAAAATAATAATAAATGTTTGGTGGTCGTGTTTTTTAATTGTAAAAGCTCGTTTCATAGGTTCGTAATAGTAATTAAGAATATTCATAGAAGAAGAAAACAATAATGGAACAGGGCAACGTCTGTTGAGTAATTAATAATAAATACCTAAATAAAATAGAAATGATAAGAATACTCACATAAAAAATATTGCAAACATTTCCAGGTTTTTTAATAATGAGATAAAAATAGAATGCTAACGTTGCTCGCGTAATCAGTATACCAGTGGGACATGATAGATGAGGATGAAGTCAGGTAGGTCAACTTATCGTGATTAATGCACCAAGAATAAATCACGATGTTTCAGAGGCGACGCGTGAGGAATATTACTAATTATTAATTTAACATAACTAACAATCTCTCGAAACTAGTTGAAAGCTTGAAAAACTCTTGAAAACTCTTGAAAACAAAAAGTTTGAAAAACAGAATCATGTTCAGCAAGATCACATTATCCTAAAAAGTACAGGTACCAATAATTCCGTTACCAATAGTTCCGGTTTTTAGGGGAAATGCGTAGAGGTCGAGCTAATAGGATATATTGCTAGCAATGGAGTTGTTAGATCCCATCACTAACAATCCCTTTGCCCCTGTCCATGGCGTTGCGCATATCAATAGGCGATGGTAGCCACTTTTCAATACTGAGGCCGTAAGCTTGTTTATTATTTGTATGTTTCATAAAAAGAGTAGGTTTTCAAACAAAGTTACTTAACATGAAAAAATGTATTTTGTGTATACATACAACTCACTATTTATAGTCACAGTACCCGTACAAAAATAAAATTATCTTGTACTTACAAATTAAAAGAGTAAACATTGAGTTTCTTGCGAGTTTTTTTCAGTAGATAACAACATTCTGAACCCAGCAGTAGAATAAAAACAAAAATAGGATTTAAGAGAGTGTTAAAGTTTTAGTCTAGTTTAGTTTAGAAGAGTTGATTTGAATAAAGATTGTTCTATTTAAATTCTGTTCTACGAAAAACAGGAATCGACTTACATGACGCAACGCTAAGATCCATAACAAGGAGATTACACAAATAAATTTAATTATTAATGTCAGAATCGACATTCATTCATGGTATCAGTATCTAACTGCGATGGGAAAATGAAGACGAAATCCATTATTGTCTATTTATAAATAAACGAGTTGCCCCTAAAGAGACAGCTCAGTGTATTTGTAATAAACTAAGCTTCGTTTCCTTGAAAAGCTTTTATGAGCGTACCTACTTATATAATGGCAGCCAGTCAAGCAGGGTATAGTATTAAATCTTGACGTCTGTTTACACCATTGATCAAGGGAGTCCTAATTTTGTGAGAGTACATTTTATTAAAGAAAAATGGACAACGGTAAGTAGGACTGCCAATGAGGGGTCCTTAGGTAAGATGGTCATGATTTGCTAAATTCACAATTGCAGTAGGAAGGGATTTTTAATAAAATTGACTAACCATATTTCTAGCAATTGATGTAAATAGATTTTTATAATGTTTAATGAAATGTGGCAAGGTACTAGTGAAGTGTAATAGTTGAGAATGTAAGCAGTTCAGTTGGTCCATCGACCTGATAGGGTACATTGCTTGCAGTAAGGTTGATAGTTCTTATTAGTAATAACTTCTCCCTCTCTCCCCTCACTAGAAATAGGTCGACCTCTACGTGGTCTCCTATGGAAATCATCGTGGACAGTTCATCCACCGCCGGCTTTGTACGGGTAGAAAATATAAAGATTTCTAAATTTTTTTAATTTAAAATAAAGCCTTTGTTACTAATAATATATCTTTCAATAGATAAAAGAATTTTTGAAATCGATTAAGTTTCGGTTGAGTTTTTCCATTATAAACAAAACATCAAGTATTTTCTTTTATAAGTATAGAAGAACTAATAGTTATTTTATTTGCTTAAAGACGGTAAAATTAAAGATGTTACATATATGTAGTTGTCCGTGTCGTCCGTGCATAGAAAAGGCCTCCCCTTCCTTTCCTATTAGTGTCGTAATAGGCGACTAAAGGAACCTAATAGAAGAAGCAGCTGCAGCAGTGTCCCTCTTAAAAAATATTAAACGCCTAACTATGATCGTCAACCCGCTTGCCAAGCGTGGCAACTACTGGCGAAACACCCCTTATGAGAAAGGCTCAAGTTCAGCAGTGAACAGTTAACGGCTGTATTAAAGTAATATTAGACAATTGATAGTTTTCCAGGAGAACTTCATTTTTGGAGAGTGCGTAAAGCCATTTTCTAGTAGGCTACGTCAGAGCAGTCTAGTAAGCTAAGTCTGCGGCTTAGAATCTCATCAAAGGGCGCCACCCTGTAATTTTCTGAGAATGGTTGGTTATTTGATTCCATAATGTTGTTTATTTCCGAAAAGAAGAACTTTTGGAAGTCGCTTAATAAGCTTTTGATTAAAAAAATAAATGAAAAACACATTAATTCATGAAGTTAGGTTAGTTAATTTACTTACTTTGGAATCCTAAAAAAATGTCAGCCAAATGTCTAAAATGTAATACAACATGGAAACTCAATATTTTCCATGTTTGAGTGCGTATGTGGAAGATTAAAGAGAATAATGAATGGGCCTCGTCGTCAGTACCTCGACTTTGAGTTTGATAATATTAGAAATGTATAATTGAGATGTGATTTCATGCAAAAATTTACTGTTTTATTGATTTCTCTTGGGATCAACCCAAGTTTTATTAATTCTAGTAACCCTTTAATAACTTCTTTAAGTTTTTTTTACAGGCTTGTTGTATGCAATGAATACGAAAGAATGTTAGCTTTTACCTTTCTAGAATAATATTAGCAAAATTAATTTCAACATTTTTAAACAAATTCTAAAAAGGAATGTTCTCGATTTTACTTTTCTGTGTTACGAAATTAGGTCGTCAATTCTGATTTTTGCTATCTATAGAGTTTACTCTCGTACCTTATGTTGGTCCCATAATTTTGTAACCATAGAATTTGAAACATAATATGTTTACAAAACATCTTGTTGTTTATCAGTGCATGTGTTTTCTATTTCTATCTACTTACAGTTTATAGTGTCTATTGCCATCAGAACTCCAGACATTTATTAGTAACTAATGGTGTATGAATCTTTTTATAAAACGAACGGAGTTATTTACCTGAGATCAATATAAAAGATTGAAGAACTTATGGTATATTGTGCTATTATAATACCCAGAGAAAAAAAAACAGCCTAAATAACATTATTTAAGTTTAGTATGATATTATTATTGGTGTATGCCGTATAGATCCCAGCGTACAATGGGTCACCCCTTACTTTTTCGCGGGTGTCGTAAGAAACGACTAAGGGAGGGCGAGAGATGGGCAGCAGCGTCCCTCTTAAAACATCTCCAAAGCCTAACTGCGGTTGCCAATCCGTCTATCAAGCGTGGCAACTACTGGCAAACCCTCCAAGGGAGAGGCTTGTTTTCAGCAATGGACAGTTAAAAGCTGCTATGATGATGATGATGATATTATTAAAATCTGTACCTCCGGCACGGAGAAAAGATTATGTGAGGTAAGTTTTTAACAACTGATTTTGCTCTACAAAAACACAGCGACTATTTTATTGACATGTATTAATTGTTTTTTTAGTTAATCCACTGACTCCATGTAATAGAACAGTCTTACGATACAGTTTACAGTATATGTATAATGATGGCAGCCAATAATTCAATCTAAATTTACCTTTTACTGTGTTTTTTTTTATTTATATGATAATTGGTATGTTGATTGTGGTGTTATGAAAGTATACAATCTATTCAAAACTTTATTATGCGTCAATTGTTATTTCAAGTATACACCATCATAATTGGTCGCGTCGAGCTAACCAATAGTTCAAACTTAGTTAACAACTCATATAACTGTTATGTGGTATATAGTTAAAAATATATCTGAAGGGTTAAAGTTTTAATTATATTTAAGTAAAGTGAAGCAAAACGTTTATGGGTATATATTATGATAGAGCGAATTAAACTATTTAAATATCATTCAAAAGTTTGGGTCGGTGATGAAATATAAATCATATTGGTTGAACTTTACCTTAGAGACATACAATAGGTATTAGGCATTACAATAAACTTTTACAGCGTAGATAGAAATATGCAGAAGTAGACATTGATTACTATGGGAAATTTTTTAATATAACATTTAATAGTGAGTCTGCTTTTTGTATCTACAATTAATCGTCATACACTCGGCCATATAAATCCTACTCGTATTTAGAATATTGTACTAAAATGAATTACTTACATGTGGTGATCCTATGGATTTTCTATTGTCATTACTGCTGGCCTGTCTGGAGAAGGAGGGCGCATGGATGCTTAATGGTGAGCCCGGCTCCGAATCTGTCTTGCCATCATTGCTGCTGTTTCCACCGTCCTGTAAAATAAATTACTAGTTTAGTTTATTTGTTGATTAGGTTCTGAACTTGTGTTAAAATTACAATATTATTGTAATATAGGTGCTTCAGGAATGGTAGTGCATTAAAGGTGTTAAGGGTTACACTGTATGTTCTGTGATATCTATGATGCTGTTTATATTTACAGGTGACGGTTATTTCAGTGTAATGGAAATATTAGTTGACACATCATTTTATTTCAATTCATTCTAATTCAACTACATTCATGCTAACTTACATTTTATAACGTTTAATTTATTAATTCGTAAAGGCTATAACTTTACATTTCTTCGTATGTCACTTGTCTAATGTTTAAATAAGGTGTTTAATGTGATACAACAGTTCAAAGTGTCGCTTTTGAACGTTTCTAAATAATATCTAGGTACCTAAGTGGAAGTTTGAAGACAAGCCCATTACAGTATTACTGACGTGTCACTGTCATCAGCGCAAAGTTTCAGCTTTCACAGTCAACAACGGTAACATAGACTGTTTCATGTGTGTATTATATCATAATAGAGTAAGTGGGTATTATGTTTTATACAAACATATATGTATATAATTTTTAAGGCATACGTTACGCATAAGTACTAATACAACAATTCAATTTAGCTATAATGAAAATGGATGATTGTTTATTAGTCCATACTATAGTTTTATATATGGTTGGAAACAATCTTATAATCAGTTGTGAGAGTGAGAACTTTATTATATCTCAGTTTTAACTAAGTTATTGTATTAACTCAATTAATTTTATTTATATGAAATACATTCTTTTTAATTTAATATTACACAAAAACTTATTTAGTTAATTTTATGATTAGATAATATTTTTGGTCAGTAAGACACGTCTATCAAAGAGGGTTCTCAATTCACGTGTATTTTATGTGTAAGTTATGAGATATGTTCATCGTTTATCATAATCGATGTCGCAACTTTTTTTGTAACGTAAAATCTTAAATTGTTACAAATGCAAATTATTATTAGCTCGGGACTAAACAGCTATTTAATTATGTTACGTTGTATTTATTTATTATAAAACAATGTAAAATTTAAATAATTTTTGTTTAAAATCTAATAATATACCTTTACATTGTTAGGATACAATAGTACTAAAATGATATGTAACAGGCTATGTATGCATCGTTGTTGCCAGATCTTTTGCATTAATAATCAGCCTTAACATTGTCGAGTGATAGCAAAATTATTGAGTGTGAAACTCTTGAATATTTATTAGTAGTGTAGCAGTATTGCATGTTATGTAGGTAGTCCATAAAATTTGCATCATTAGTCTAGGATTCAGAGCTACGGCGTAGGCTTTGTCTCCAGATTTTAATATAGTTTTGTGATAGTCTAAAACTTTTGTTTTATTAATGTAACAAAATTTTCTTTTATATACGCTATGTATTTTATCTGGGGTCTGACATTTTAATAGGTGATTGTTAGAATAAAATCAATTCTTTGTAATTGAGAAAATGCATTCATTTCTAATATTAGCAATGATTTATCGTCTGTATGCAAGAATGTTTTTTATGTTAATTCCCATGATGCCTTGTGCATTTTATTTCAATTAATAAAATGCTTTAAGTAGCGATATGACTGGAAGATATATTGTGTCCAGAACAAACAAAGCAACAGGGGACTTTTAGATGAATTATATAAAGCAGACAGTTTATTTACCTTGTCGCCATATTTTATTTACTGAGTACAAAAGCTTATAGGATTTTAATGGCAAATTGAAATAATTAGATATTCATAATTGAGTTGTTTTAAGGATCTCCGATCAATTCCAAATTTGATTAAGTTTTATCAAACGCTGAAAACTAAATTAGAAAGTTCCTTTATTGACAATAAATTCACCCTGCAGGTTTCTTTATTTATCCGTGTTTTACTTTTTAATATTATTGTTGTAATGTGTTTTTATGGAAAGATTGGATTGTTAGTAATGGATAATTATCACATTGTTAGGTTCTCTTTTACTGTGAAAATTCCCTGTCAATTTGTGATGAATTCATCGCTGTGGATCAACTGTCCAGATTTTTTTTATACCTTGAACGTAGCAAACAAACATACAGGCCAGAAGGCCTGTATCACGATCAGACTACTACGATCAGGCTGATTGTAAACGGTTACTGTAGCCTATGGACGCCTGCAACAATAGAGATATCACGTACGTGTTGCCGGCCCTGAAAAAACCTTAATATAACCTTTTTGAGAAGCACATACTGTGGTTTCTAAAGAAAACTTCAGCCGGGAACTTATTCCACAGCCTGAGCGATCGCGAGAGAAAATTCCTTTGAAACTGCACTGTCGATTTCATTTTATCTGATTTCTATCATTTCTTAATGGTACCTTACCAAATGATACAAACGGGGGTTACCATTTCATAGTATCCTATTTCAAAGTGCGTTTTCATTTCTTACCTGTAGCGATCTCGCGAGTTCCAAATCATTGTACCGCCCAGTAGCTCTCCTTTCTGGCAGTATATACTTTGGCAGTGACTTGAAAAACCACGCTCCCGACTTCTTCCACATTTCTCTGGTTTCCGCACAAAGGTTGCACATATACTGCTCCCTGGAACGAATGGGAGATCTACTCCCGAATGTTTATATTATTTTGTACATATTTAACTAAAGTATTATCGTATTATTTAGAAATTTTCATGTGATCCCGGCACAGAATATGCCACACCTTTCTTTCCCTTGGGTAAGAAGCGACTAAAGGTACTTGAAGGGATGGGCAGTAGCGTCTTCCTTAAAACATCACTAAAAGCCTAACTGGGGTTGCCAACCCGCCTGCCAAGCGTGGCGACTACTGGCAAAACTCTCTTTATGGGGAAGGCTTATGTTTAGCAGTGGATAGTTAACATCTGAAATAATCTATATTAGATGAACAGATTTATATATTTTGGCTCAGTATGTGATATAAATATGTGTAATATAGCCTCTGGATTCTGGATAGTGTTGTCTAGACCCAAGTAAATACAGTATAACGTACAGATACTTCTAGACGATTGAGATAAATAGAAGAAACGATGATACGTCAACATACAATCATCAATAATACAAATGTGTTACTCGGTACAAACCCGGAATATGTTCAACAGTAGGCACGACTGAAATGATGAGGATGATAATTTATAAAAATAAAAAATTCAATAAAAATAAATTAGATTAATAAAACTAATTTAATTTAATTTAGTCTAATAAGACTCTATATATTTATAAAGTACTTTGTTAATATGCTATTAATCCATTTTATAAGAGCTCTCTTCGTACCCAATAGGAGGTTAATGAGTAGTAATTAATAACAATGTCGTTTACTATTTCATAATTTCAGTCACACGCGGAGTTACATGGTTTATAACTAAAATAGTCAAGCTGAACTCAACAAGCTAATCATTTGCAAATTCAATAATTTGTTGTAAATGATAATTATCATTATATAATTAAGTCGCCAACATCTGCCTAATATTAATTTTGTTACAATTCACATCAGCTCACATTTATTTGTATAATAAAGTAGCTGTTGCCCGAGATTTTGTGCGCATGTATGTTGGAAGTGTGCAAATGTATATTTTATCTTTACATGTATAATATATACCGCGTCTAATTAACTTATAATAACATATAAATATATATTGACAATGAATGCACAGTTTACTCAGTAGGTGGGGTGGTGATTTCCTATAAAGGTAATACTGCGCAAAAAGTTTGCAAATTATTGCTAATTATTACAAAAAATGCTAAAGACTGGACTATTTAATATTACCAGCAATTTTAAATATGAAAAAAGTAAAGAATAATAATAGAAAAATTAAAGAAGAAAAGGAAAGCAAGCATAAATTATCTGATAGCGCGATTTTATTTACGTACACGAAATATAACGTAGACTATTTTAAATATATATGACACAAACTATTTTAAGATATAATTTAATAAATTTATTTATAAAATTATCATAAGAATTTATTGATAAAGACGGCTAATGCCTATCACCGGCCGTTTAATAAATACAAACATCTCGAAAAATTAATTAATGATATTTATATATTTCTCATGTAAATGTATTTTTTTTGCGACAAAAAAGTAATATAATCGCGTAAAAAAAAATAACCAAATGAAATAGATCACTAGATGGTATGTCAAGATAAAACTTACACCTGATTTACACTTAATACATAAATGTGGAAATCGCATTTAATTTAATGTAAAAGTTTTTGCATGATGCCCGAACAACCATAGAGATAAACGGGCAAAAATTTAAAAAAATTTTGTTTTGTCTTCTATTGCGCTTATTAAGTTCACATTATTTTTTTTATGAAGATAAATGAGCTATCAAATAGTATCAAAATATTAATTAAGCAAAATAAATTATTAGTAGCATTAATTTGAACACAACTTAGAATCGTGGTTAAAAATAGAAATACAATTTATTTCTATGTTTTGTTTCAATAATAATGGTTGGAAACTGTTTAATGGCATCACTTTGTTTACTGATTCTATCTTCATATTTTATAAAATAAAACATTTAATTAAAAACAAATTGAAATTGATTAATTTTACATACACGATAGAAAACAAATTTACTTGACCGTTACGATAAAAAGTAAAAGAAAAGTAATGAAAATTTTAAAGTGGAAGAGAAAAATAGATGCAAAACTCTATATTGGGTCTATTTCTTCTTACTTAAAAAATCACATTGACAAATTATTTATATTGCTTTTTTATCTTGACCCACAAAGTAGTTGTGGGGTAAGATAAAAAAATCAAGGACATAGACAAGTGGTCTAGATGGCGTATAAAATATCTAAAATTTATTGTTTTCGCTTCAATTAATTTGATTGATCTTAATAATATATCAACTTCAATTGTTCTCAAATATCTTCTACGAGTACTAGCTGTTATAAGTGGCTTTACACGCATGGTGTCATTTCCCTTTAAAGTTGAAATTTCCAAACATTCATTCTTAATGGATTACCTTATAACATAATGTATATTTTATGGCATTCTAAACTTAGTAGTTTTGGGTGTGTGTTGATAATTACGACAAACAATTTTATAAGATGTAGATGTACAGTTATCATCTATTTCTACTTATTTTGTGTAGGTATACAGGCAATTAGTTCCGTAAAGAAAATATGAAGAAAATTTAGAATAAAAATTTGCAAAAAAATTAAAATTGAATTTTCTGTAATCACGAGTACAATTTTGTTGTGATAAAGGTTATACCTATAACAAGTACTGAAAAAAGATGTAGGTAGGTAATAGAGTAAAATAATAAGTCTTTGTATTTACTCGCCTGTAATACAATGTAAGAATATCTTTTCCCGTTATTATTAACTGTAGAGCCTCTCGTGTTTGTGTAGTAGAATAAAAATACTCTATTTGTTAATGGAACATAATTAAATATTTTTATTTATGGTTAGACATTTGGTTTACTACATAATTACATATTGATATAGAAAATATGAAAATAATTTTCCAAATTACTAAGATATTTAAAATTTAATAAAGGCGCAGAAGGTGTGGGTTCAAGTTTCGCCCACTTTGAAATTTTTCAATCACTTAATAATTTTTGGAATATGGTTTTGATATTTTAATAATATTTCTGAATAATATTATATTGCAACAATATTTTTTTTATCTTTAATTAAACCGTATAAAATAAAGTTATTGTCCATTGTTTCTCCGCTTACTTGTAAACCATGCAACGGATTTTGATAAGGGTTTTACCATTATATTAGATATTTTTTTACGGAAGGTTTGTAATAAATTGCACCCATGCGAAACTGGGGCGGGTTGCTAGATATATTATACCTAATTATAAGTGGTTGAATTAACGAAGGACATGACCCATATATGTGCTTAATTTCATTTAAATCTAGTAGTTGAGTAATAACCATCCAAATATTTATAATATTACTAAATGTTTTCCGTGGCTTTGCTGGCGTATATTAGTAATAATGAAGTATCTTTTTTATTACATTACAACATTTTTAAAACATTAACATTTATTTACATTTATAATAATAGTTGGATTAGACATTTTCTCAGTTATAACATAAAGGATAGTTTCATAACGAATCTTTTGGGAACTCTATTCTTTCTATATTTACCTAGTAACTTGTTTTTCATTAATATCTAATTAGAAGTTTCTGTGTTGATCTTAATTAGCATCGTGAGTTTTTTAATGTCAAAAGTATTAATTTATAAGTCTGAATGGATTAAATTCCTTTACTGCTTATTTTTTTTTCTTAATCTTTTGATCTGCTAAATATTTTGTACTTTATTTGAGCATTGGATTTATTAAAAACAAATTTCCCAACAGACACAGAAAACTTAGTAGATTGGAAAAAAAAATTATTTAACTCGTACATATTGGAACGATAATTAATGTGCAAACCCATTTTAGTATTGATTTCATATTAAACGTCAAATTATTTTTGTACTTGTGCGTGATATACGTGAAATATTGCCAGATTTCAATTTTCCTTTCAATTTATAAAGATTTTATTTTAATTACAATATACTTAAATTTGATTAAATTAAATTATCCTGTAACAGTATTTGCGTTTTATATAATGAAATATTAGTAATTGTACTTTCTATAACGTTTATTAAATGTGAAAGTGAGTTTGCTTGTTATCTTTAGGCGCCTTAACGGCTTAACCAATCGTCACGAGATTTGGAGTATATGTAGTTAAATACTACATACTACAGGATGGAGAAGGATGTAGGCTACTTTCTTGATCTATTAATAAATCCAGTCATTCGGACAGATTCGCGGATATATTTAGTTAAATCTTTATTAATAGTATAAATGTGAAAGTGGGTTTGTTTGTTGCCTCTTAACGTCTTAACGGTTTAACCAACCAGTAAAAATAGGAGAAGGACATAAGCTACTTTTTATCCTTATAAATGAAAGTGTCTTGGTTACACCAACAGGTTGGAAAACAACAACATAATTCCTATTTGTGTAGTTATAACATATTTTATAATCTATAACACATTACAGTTCCACTACTGGGTATTAATAGGAATATAACCTGTTAGGTCGACATCTACGCGGTCTCTACTGGAAACTGTTGAAGTTAATTCCTGCTGAATTCATAACGACAGCCAAGTCATCTAAGTTTGTTCTCATCTATACGCTATATACCTATAGGGATAGCGTAGGTGGGGTTACTGTTCAATTTTCACCCCATTAAAAAACTTACTGTAGGTATATAAAGTAATAAAATACAGCAATTTTATTACGCAGTTAATGTTTACGCAGCAGTGCAATCTAAATTGCCGTAAAGGTACAAATATAGCGAAGATCACAATCTCAATTGAATTATTTTCAAAATGATTACATTGTTTAAATAAAATTAACTGACTTGTGGGTGCGGTGGTTACATATAATTGACAGTCGATAGATATATATTAATAGAACCGTGTATGCTGCATTATAAGGTTAATTGCCTTTTAGATAGAATGACTACATTAATAAGGTATATTTATTAAAATATTCATTTTATAAATTAAATTAGGCCTTACCTCTGAAACTTGTGATATTTTTAATAGAACTCTTTTTGTTACAAAGTCTACAAGCTTTCCCGGAAGTGGAAAAAAAAAACCATCAAATGAGGTGTAACGATTATATTATAGTTTTTCTCAAAAACAATAGTTAAATATCGTCCAATTGTCGAAAAGTTTGCCTCTCCTGTCGTTAACTTTTAACTACCTATACAACTATTTGAGAAAGCTGAAGTTAACATTTAATCATAGTAACAAAAGTACAACGCAACATTGTTTTATATTTGAAACAGAAAGAAAATAACGCATTCAAAGCCTTAAGACAGTTATGCAACACTTCCTAATAAATACGTCTCTGAAACTCTATTGCCTGGTTTTGATATTAAAGAAGAAAAGTGTAATTGTAAAAAATACCGTGAAATATTTAACAAAAAAAAAAAAATATGTGTTCTTCATACTGAGTTAATAGCAGGACGCACTGCTGTCAAGTTAATATTTGTACTTTTTTATTTTTAGCTTTAGTTTCTTTTTTAATATATTAAGTCTCATTCGAAATGTAAGTATCGGCTATAAGTATGAGTTACGGGCCGTCTGAAAATCAACACAGTATAAGTGCATCTTAAAAGCTGCACTTATACTGTGTTGACAAAGCTAAAGATATAGCAGCAGCTAAGGCAGCTCCTATTGCCAGCAATATGTATTGATTTTTTTTATATTTATTATTGTCAAAGGTTGACTGGGAGAGAATGCTATATAGTATTAAGCCCGCTTTCTATAAAGAATAAGTGGTCAATAAAGAATAAATAAATAAAATTGTTTCTTTTTACTGTAATTATTACTTGAGATCTATCTGATTATATTCGTATTATTCTACGATTTAGTTTTACTAGTAGAACGTTCGGTTCTACTAGTTGAACGAAACGAATTAAAAAATCAACTAGTAGAACAAAATGGCCTAAAAACTAGTTTTATTAGCAAGAAAGAACGAAGAGGGAAATTATATTAATTTGCATGCGAATGGTTCGACGACTCAGTTTCACTATTTTTTTATAAGAAGAATCCTTTTCGCATTTAAAAAATTTACGTGTAAATGTTAATTTCAATAAAGAAATAAATACGTTTGATATGGAAAGATCAACATATTTCAATGTTATTCAACCTGTATTTTTTTTATTTTTAGGAAACATGTTTATTTCGACTGGTAGAAAAGTTCTTTAAAATGTTGCTAATGAATTTGAGTAAATCTTGTTAAATAATTACAAATCAATTTTCTTTCTAAACATAAACATAATAACTGTATAATAGACACAATGTACTTTACTATTTTGAACTTTATTATTATACTCTTAGTACTCATAGTCGTAATATTTAAATATCTTCTTATTATAGAAAATAACATAATATTTCTTACCTATGTGGTGGAGTTTCTATGACACATTTGGGACAAGCGGATTGATTGCATATGGCGCAGGTCCTTAAAGGGGCTAAAAGCCGCGCTGTCTCACCGCATACCAAACACGACCTCGGCGCAGGCCCTTGTGCCGATCTTCGCATTCCTGTTTAAGTAATAATTTAGAATATTAATAGAAAATATTTATTATTTTTTAAAAAATAGGGAGCTAAAGAGATACAAAATTCTCAGGCAATATAGGTTTAATTTTTTAATATTAAAAGACAATAATATTATAAGTTTTAATATAATATATATATTATTTTATTTAATTTGGAAATTCTTTTTTTATCTAAAAGGATATCCTTACAGATTTGTCCCATAAAATTTTTAATAAAATTGGTTCAGTAGGTTAGTTTTTAAATGAAAATAACTGATTTTGTTTAAATTGAAGTCTTTTTTGTGAAATACCATTTAATTATAAAGTGTCTAGGTGTAATAAATTATAAATATGAAGTTTAAGTAAAAACTTTACCTATAAGCCTTGTAGTCAAGTCTTTTAATAAATATTTTTATAAAAAATTATGTAGGCGTAGATAGATGTAATAGAATACTCGCAAATTATGAAATTTTAAAAGGACTATGGAATTTCATTTTACAGGCATGCATTGTGAACAAAAATATGAATTGCATTTATTTACTTTCAGATTCCGAAAAAGAATTTAATAAGGTATTACAATTATAAAAGAATTGACTTATAGGTATCATTGATTCATAGAAAAATTAAATGCTTGTGTAAACATTTTGCATATTTATAACTTCATATTAGGTACTTTGATTATAAAATAGTAAAACGGAGAAGCTTTCAGTTCATTAATTTATTAAATTGCGGCTCAGAACTGACAATTTCATTATTCGCACATTAATTAGTCTGAAAGCATTCATCATAACAGAGTTTTGAGAAGTAATCAACTATCTAATAATCTTAAAGTAAATACGAATGGAGGTCTTTGTGGAGAAGCTTAGCTTTGTAAACAGTAACAGATTCATTTTACAAGAAACTGTGATCATCTAATGCGATTTAATAATGAGTAAGTGTCACACAATCACACAAATTATGTGGTCCTCAAACTAAGATAACCTGCGTTTTAAGGAACTAGGCAACGAAGTTCTGTAGGCAAATTTCAGAATTATATCTATAACATAGAAAAATGATAAATTAAATTTTTAATACTATTTTTTTAATGCAACTTAAAATGGTTAACAAACTGATGGGCCACCTGGTGGAAAGAAGTAAACACAGAGAAATAATAGAGTATACTGTTTCACCCATGATACCCATGTGTTGCCATTCCTGACGATTCAGGTGTTGTTCCTCTGTACCCTGTAAATTCACTACCATATACTCACCCTTCAAACCGAAACACAACTGCTTCACAGTAAAAACACGAAAGGGCAGAGGTGCCCAAGTAAACGACTTTTATATAAAGTTTCCCTTTGGAGTCTCCCTCTGGTCCCTACTACGTATATATTTGGACAAAATATAGAAGATATAAATAAATGATACAGAAAAAAGAAATTGATATATTTGAGATAAAATTAACAATTTAAAATAAATTAATAATACACAAAAAATCGGCTTTAATCATGATAAAATCAACACGATTATAAAATAATCTCGCACATATATGGTCTAACATAAGTACCTAAACATACTCATAAAAAATACAAACAAATTGAGACCCAGCTTTTTGAAGTTGCTTAAAAATACAAGCGTACAAATGCACAAGTCTTTGATGAACGTCACTTACGAGAACTTGTGTAAAATAACTCGAATACTTGTAAGTTTTGTGGTTACTTGGCGAATTAAGCAGTTAGATGAGGGTTAAACCCTCGTCAGTAAACTAACAAGACCGTAACCGGTTTGTCACCGGAATTTTCTACCACATTAAATAAATGTTGAGATGGAAACATGTCACTGCTAGCCATAAATAAATATATTGAAATTCTAAGAAATAAAAAAATATATAAGAAATATTGAACCGCCTGCAAAGCGTGGCAACTACTGGCACTCCCCCTCCCACTCCCCCCGAGGGGGAGGCTTATGTTTCTTTTTTTTGATGGGTGAAAATGGTATGGTAGCCACCCCCAGGAATTAATCATAATAGTTTCCAGAGGGAACCGCGAGGAGGTCGACCTGGTTGGGCATATTGCTAGCAATGGGATTCTGTCTCCATCACTAACAATCCCTTTCCCCCCGAGGAAGCTTATGTTCAACAATGAACAGTTAAAGGCTGATATGATAATGATGAATAAAGACTAAAACACAAGGAGCTGGTATTATTTGGATTTTAAGTAGATTAAGGTTATATATTAATTATTTTTGGGTTTGCTGGAAGAGATCTCTTTTAGTGTTAAGCTCACCTTTGTAAATTTGTTTATCTCTGTTTTATTATTATATACCTATTATTAGTGTGTACGATAAAGTATAAATAAATAAATAAAAATTATTACAAAATAAGATTTTTATATTAAGTATAAATTAGCACTAATGAAACCCTTTCATACCCGGTATATATATGTTTATATATGTTCTTAATTTTGATACAGGATACTCGTATATCTTGTTGCTCAGCGTCGTTAGAATCATTGGTCACAGGGATGGCTGCTAGGGGTACAATATTTAATTACAATTTACATTTGTAAATACGCAAATGAATCAGAGTAGCGCTTAATATAGAATTTTGCCTTAATGAGGTAAATCTCTATGTTGAATGGCAAGTTACAACAGATTTGGCATTCTCTATTCAGCTATTATATAATAACTAAACCTTTAATCCTCCTTAATCCATGGCCTCTAATCTAATCCGTTTACTCAGTTGATTTTTATTTGTTAATTATTTAATCTACCTTTTTCAAATCTGATATAATTCATAACTAAAACTGTCCTGTGTAAAAAAAGTAATAATTATTAACAACTGTACGTACCTGGTATCGTTTTATAAATTCATGTAGTATGATAATTTTATTTGAAAAATGACAGGAAAATCAGATAATAATTATGATTACGAGACACGTGTATGTGAGACATATCTTAATTTTTTTGTTATAAAGGTGAAATATTACAGGAAAAAAGCAAAGGTTAGTAAGAAGAAAATGCAAATGGTGAAATAGAGGGTTTCCTCCATAGAGTACGAGGGAGGTCAAAAAGTTAGCGGAATGGAGGGATTGGTGTGGGTTGGTTTACTCGTTCAGGTAATTACTTATATAATAAAGTATATATGATATTTATACCATCATAAGTACTTATGATGGTATAAACAAATTATTTGAGAGATTCGAAAAATTTATTAAGGTTAAGGGACAATATATTGAAAAGAAAAAATAATTTCATGTTTAATTTCAATCCCTTCCCCTTCATTCCGCGACATTTTTGACCTCCCCTCATGATTCGATTTGATAAAAATGAGTTACCACTCATTGAAGTTTAGTGCACTTACATACGTACTGTGCTGCTTTGTGCAAAGACCCCACGATTATTATAAAGCAAAGTATAATAATAAACCACACGGGAGTTCTCGGGATGTTGAGCGTGAGCAAAATTATATTTGCAATTTAAAAATCGCGGAGTCTTCGCAGGCGGTGGCGCTTCGTATGTATCTAGTGTTTCATTTACCTTCCAGCCTGGCGACTAAGCGGCCAACTCGCCTGGCCTCGACCTCGTCCAGCTTCTCTGCTCGCTTGACAACCGCGGCGATGGCCTCCCGCTCGCCCAGCGTCAGCGGGGGCTCGCTGCGTGCGGCGCTCCACCCCGTCCGGAGTCTGTAACAATGTACTTATTAAGTAATTGTTAAATACACTTACAGTAGTTATAGTATACACATATATGCCGAGCTTGTCGATTGAATAGAACGGCGGACGTTGACCCGAATATGGGTAATGGTCAGTCGTTTCGCAATTATTATGGAATTATATATATATATATATATAAACTACCTTTGAACCGCAACTTCATCAGCGTGACCGGGGTATATTCACTGACCTAAATAAAAAAACTTATGTCCGTCTCTATTTTATAGTTAAGGCGTTTAAAAGTAACAAAAAGCAAACTTACTTTCACATTCATAATACTACCTAATATAGAAATAAAATAAGGACGATTTGTATCTATATGTCTATTACAGTTAATTGTTATTGAAAATTTATAGACCAGGGCTGATCTTAGCCCAACTGGTGCAAAATTTTTGAGTGCACCCTAATAAAAAGTCACTGGGAGTATAAAGTGATAGTTTCTCCTAGCAGCACAATTCCGCAATGTTCAACCAAAACTACAGGAAGGAAGGGATTGCTAGTAATGCGGACTACCAATCCTATTGCTAATAATATAGCCTGTCAGATTGCCCTCCACGTGGTTCCCTCTATAAACCATCGTGCTGAATTCCAGATACATATATTCATCACGATGGACTAACTGACCTGCATTTTCATTCTCATATATTATCCCTCACTGGTGTTCCGTCAAAGTATACCGTTATCGCAAGCAGGGTTACCATTACATTATTATCCATTAAAAAAAAAAACTACAAATGTCGAATTTGATATCCGACTCCACCCCCTATGACCCTGCGTCTATTACACTGCCCACCCTGTTCCATAGGTTAAGCCGGCTTTGCATATATATTGTATATATATTAGTTATAGAATGCATATAAATAATTGTACTCATTTTAGTTCCGCGTTTAGATTAGAGAATGATATAGAACAATAATATTTTTCGTATTACACTGTACGTATACAGTATGACGTATTGATAGAATGTCGTGATATGTTATCAATGTTCGATTCTACCAGTCAGAAAATAGACAAATGATTACAATAAGCATATAAACAAATCATTAAGTAATTACAGTGAAATGTTTAAATTTCACTGTAATTACTTATTACAGTGAAATTTAAACTATTCTGTTCTTAATTATTTAAAGAATTTTTTCCTTATCCGTTGCTGGGTAAAATTTATCTATAAAGCAAAATTTACATTTGTACTCTCCCTGAGGGCGATCCGGACTTCCGTACCTCTAGGTAAGAGTATATCGCATCACTTGTCTCCTACTGAGGTGACGTAAGCAGAAACAATATGACGTCATATACCAACAGACCTCCGCTTCCTACATTTTCATCAGTCTATTCATACAAGTTTGTCAGTTACGGGTACTTTTTATTAAAATCTTTTTCAATAGGCATGCCATTTATGTTATCGCGACATAGAATGGGTTTCTCCTTCTTTCCTATGAGTCTCGTAAGAGGCGACTAAGGAAACTTAATGGTCGAGGGATAGACAGCAGCGTCCCTCTTAAAACATCAGCAAAGTCTAGCTGCGGTTGCCAACTCGCTTGCCAATCATGACAACTACTGACAAAACCCTTCTTATGGGGGAGGCCTATGTTCAGCAGTGGACGGTTAACGACTGATATGATAATGACAATGATGTCACCTAAACTTCGTTCTAGATGAACATATCTTCAATATATGTTCACGTCCATGGACTTTATTGATTTATATTAAATTATTTATGAATTTAAACATTTTGAAAATAGAACCATAAACTCTTATAGAGAGAACGATCGTTTAACAGTATGGAATGGAACATTTCAAATAATCTAGTGACCCCTGGTGGTATTATCTACTTCAATAGATCTTAATGAAAATGTAAACAAATGAATAATGAACCCAACCACAAGTCTGCTGATATACTTGTATAATGACCAAATGTTTCGATTTGTTACTAATTTCGTTTAAATAGAGCACGTTTCATTGATAATTTCAATAAAACTTGGTTAGTTTTCATTTGAGACAGAGTGTAGATTAGAATTTTCTGTAATTTCTACTAATATTATTCCAAGTTGCTCGACCTACCATTATCATTACAACACTAGTCATTGATTATATTATATTAAATATTAAAACACTGATATATATATATATATATATATATATATATATATATATATATATATATATATATATATATATATATATATATATATATATCGCTATTTATTCACCCCCATACCTTAGAGCGTAAATGGTCTCGTACAGCACGGTTTCAGAGATATTTCTTTTCCCACAAACGCTCAGGTTATGGAATGAGTTCCCTGTCGAGGTTTTGCAAGAGACTACAGCACGGGGTTCTTCGAAAAAGGGATAAAGAGGTTTCTTAAGGGTCGATAATGCGCGTTTAACGCCTCTTAATGCAGGCGTTCATAGGCTACGATAACCATTTATTATCAAGCAGGCCGTATGCTTGTTTGCCACCTGAGTAGTAAAAAAAAAATATTATATTGATTTATTGCGGTTGTATATTTAAACTTACGTTAAAAGATGTTCAATGGTATGATGGCTGTTTTCTAGTGGATTTGCAAATTATTGTTTTTGTCCTTCTAAAGACAGATTATAATTTGTTGTGTCGCAATGTTCGAGGTAGTCAGTGGACTTTACCGCGAAACGATAAGACTCAAGCGGCGGAAATACGCGTTTTTAAACAAGAACTGCGTCTTTTGGTGGTTGGAGTTGAAATAAAGAGACAGATATTAACAATAAGAAATAATAAGACCTTAAATGGCTTGGAAATTTTTTAAACAAGTCTTCATCGAATTTTTTAGAACAAATATCTATCTGTTAGATTTGAAGTCGTAGTGAGACTTCTAATAGGACGATAACTGTTTATATTTCGGTGTTATTTTCTCCGTTCTACAGAAATAGTGTACCATACACGATGAATCTAAACTGGTAAGATATAATCATTTAGTGATAACTATGACTTTAACGCATATTTATGGGTTATAGACACCATTTTCCATTAGGTGAGCCATAACTTCTTTGCTATTCCCAGCAGTATAAAAAACGAATGTAATTGTTTATTATATATTATATTTAATATATATTATATTATATGTAATTATATATTATTGTAATTTAGCGTCACAGTGTTTGTGATGGCACTCCGCCGATAATAATAGATATGAGATATGTCGTGGCCGTGTGATCCCGGCATAGAATAGGCCACCCCTTCCTTTCCCGTGGATATCGTAAGAGACGACTAAGGGAGGACGAGTGATGGGCAGCAACGTCCCTCTTAAAACATCTCTAAAGCCTAACTGCGGTTGCCAATTTGCCTGCCAAGAATGGTAACTACTCTCAAAACCCCCCAAGGGATAGACTTATGTTCAGCAGTGGACGGTTAAGGGCTAATATGACGGTGATGATGATGAGAAAAGGTTGTAAAGCATATTTCGTACCGCTAGGTGACGGGGGGGGGGGGAAGGATTGTTAGTAATGGGGATTAACGACCCTTTCACCAGCAGTATACCCTATTAAGTCGATTTCCTTTAAAACAAAATAAATATACAAGTTATAGAGGAATCACTCATATTTATCACGCGAAATTGTATAAAAAAGTTGACCCGTTTTTCTCATAGCATTTCTATGGAAACACTCTGTATATCAAGCTGCATGAGTAACTTATTTTTTTAAGCAGCTGTTGATCAGGTGAGATAACAAAAGTTATCTCTTTGAGTAATAACATCGATTACAGATTTAATACACGGCACGTTGTTATATTTTATCTCCCCTTCGGATTACGATAGCAGGTTCCAATCAATAAAACTGCAAATGTATTTCAGCTCACATGCCCTTCTATTTTTATTTATATTGTCATTTCCATAGGTCAAATCGTGTGACACGTGTTCAATATGACGTCATCTTTACGTATTTATACTACAATCGTACTAAATTCAAAACTGTACATTATTTTGAGAAATTTACTTAGTTTAGGGGTATATAGTGCATGTGATACCTATTTAAACAAGTAACAATGTTGTCTTTTGTATTTTCTTTTATTTAGTGGTGATTTATAAGTGTATGTATTACGTAAATAATAATAACAATAATAATAATTTATAAAGTTAATAATTTATTAATAATAAGTTATTTATTTAATGTACAATCGACTATACCGACCGTAATGTAAATAATTTGTACAGTATATTCAATTAAATATAGATTAACATAATACTTAGTACTCGTAATACATGTTGAAAAAAAAAGTGTGTAAAATGTTGCATATAAATTAATGTAACATATACAAGTGAACGAAGTTTGCAGGTACAGCTAGTTTTTAATGATTTATCGAATAATACGTGATTACATCCACGTCATAGAAATATTTTTTATAGTTCATTTCAACATATTGAACTCTTTAAATCTTTGTGTAAATTCGTTAAGGTCAGATCAGATATTTCTGTATGAAGGAAGCAAACACGTTTATAATTTTTTTTTATTTGAGCCCGAGTTATTAGCGAAGCCTTATCGAGACAAAGTATCTTAGCATTGTGTTAATATTATATTCTTTATATTTTAGGGTATTTTTCTATTACTAGTGATTTGGCTAATAGAAATTGTGCCTTATTTATTTAGACAGGTTGACTACTTAAACAAAGATCTCTCTATATCTGCAAATAAGGACACCTACATATTATTTACAAAGATAACAATATTATAAATATATATAGAATAAGCACATCCCTAATCTACAACCTATTTTGCAAAACATATTGTCAATATACTGACACATTTTATCAACGTAGAACTACAAACAAAAACATGCAGATTTGCATATCGTCAATTGCTATTCTTATGCAAAGTTAGAGTTTTTACATATAGGTATAGTGTGTTTTAAATACTGTATATTACATTAAAGAGTAACAGGTTTCTTGTATTTTATATAGTTGTGTCTCTGACTGACTGTGGTGAGTATATTATTAATT